AGGATTCGGGAGAGGGTGGGCGGGAGGGTGAGATTGGTGTTGCATGGGGCGGATCCGTTTGATAAGGGGATTTTTGATCGCTGTGTTGCGGCTGGGGTTAGTAAGGTGAATATTAATAAGGTGTTGAATGGGGAGTGGGTGGGTGTTATGCTGAGGGCTGGGGAGGGGGATCGGGGGAAGGGGGTGGGCGTTATGGGGTTGGTGGAGGAGGCTACGGCTAGGATGGAGGAGGCGGTTGGGAGGTGTATTGAGGTTTTGGGGTCGGGGGGGAGGTATTAATTGTTTTACTAGTTCATCTTTTGGTAGTTGGCTTTGGGGTTGTGAGGTGGGGGGTTGGTTTTTATACTATTATATCTCGTGTGGTTGTTGCTCTATCTTAGTATATGTAGATTGAGTGGGATTATCTTGATTGATTGTTAGTAGTAGGAATTGAAGTATTGCTAGTATCAATTACTGGATTATTTTGTCTTTACTATGGGTTATGTATCTTGAGATGAGAGAACATGATGCTTAATCATGATGATGATGGGTACTGGCGGCAGAATATATATAACTAAAGTTCATGAACTGGCAGAGACCAGGTCTAGACCATCTGGTTCCCGAGGGATTCTAGCATGGCCATACAGTATTGAAATCCAATTGAAAATGGTAGATTGTGGTGCTAAATTATTTAAATCACGGCGAATACACCAGTATATATAATAGATATGAAACCGAAATGACACAGTCTGATAATTATCACCAGTACCCTACACATTCCTACGCTAGATCATCACAAGTATATACTCAATTGATCACTGGCTGACCGCCATGGCTATAAATCACATTCACAATTTACACCTATTGAAACACATCCGACATGAAAGACCTCGGAGATGGAGGGAATAAAGCTCAGACACGAATTAACCAAAAAGAAATGGGATAGGAAAGAAGGAAAAATACCCAGCCACACAAGACGTAATGCACAAAGAGAAAGCAATTCTTTTTAGATCTCGTGTCACTTCTCTAATGAGCAGTCATCATCTTCTTGATCTCCGCAATGGCCCGTGCGGGGTTCAGGCCCTTGGGGCAGGTCCGCGAGCAGTTGAGAATGGTGTGGCAACGGTACACGCTCATGCTGTTGTCGAGAGCGGCCTTACGCTCGGCGGTCTTCTCGTCACGGGAATCGGCCAACCAACGGTAGGACTGGAGGAGGATGGCGGGTCCAAGGTACTCCTCGCTGTTCCACCAGTACGAGGGGCAGGAAGTAGAGCAGCAAGCGCACAGAATGCACTCGTACAGACCGTCCAGCTTCTTACGCTCCTCGGGGCTCTGGCGGTTCTCGAGACCCTATACACTTATCAGTAAAAAGCCCACATCGCAGCACACGCTGTCAATACTTACATCCGCGGTCGGGGTGTCGCGCTGCAGGTAAGGCTTGATCGACTTGTACTGCTTGTAGAAGTAGGTCAAATCGGGGACCAAGTCCTTGACGACGTAGGTGTGAGGCAGAGGGTAGATGCGAGACTCCTTGGCGGTATCGGTGGGGATACGGCCTATACAGCAAATGGTCAGCGCCACCGAGCCGGGACATCGCTCCAAGCACTCCAGGACAACATACACAGGCAAGCCAGGGTGTTGACACCGTCAATGTTCATCGCGCAACTTCCACAGATACCCTCTCTGCAACTTCTCCGGAAAGTCAGGGTGGGGTCCATCTCGTTCTTGATGCGGATCAGGGCGTCCAGCATCATGGGACCGGTCTTGTTCAGATCCAGGGAGTAAGACTGCATCTTGGGCTTCTCGGTGGGCTGATCGGGGTTCCAGCGGTAGACATGGAAAGTCTTGACCCGGGGCTGCTCCGAGGGGTTGGGGTCCTGCACATTCGAAGTCTTAGATTCGGGAATGGTCTTGCTGCTCGCGTAGCCGCTTGCGCTCACCTGGGAAAGGGCGTCAACGGTCGCATAGGAGCGAGTGAAGGCGGCTGGGCGGAACAGCGGCTTCGAGGAAGCGAACAGGCGCGAGGTCGTGCGAAGGGCAGCCATTGTGGGCGGTTGAGAAAGAGATCACGGTCGATCGGGGGGCGAGGGATCTACCAGATGGCGAAAAATAGGATATGCGCGAGTAGGAGAGGTCAATGAGACCGAAAGAATGTCAATGGCGGTGGAGGGAGGGGAGAGAGGCCTGAAAGAAGAGCAGCCAGCCAGCGGCAACGACAAACGAGGTCCAAGGGAGGCACGAGGAAGTGAAGTCGATCGGTTCTGGCGATGTTTTGTCGCCTTTGGCAGCTCAAGGTAACCTCGGGTCTGGCGGCCGGCAAATGGCTGACTCAGCTGGTGCTGGCCAATCACGCAAAGCCTAATTGCAAGCGTCGGGGATACACGGCGAGGCACTGGATTGAATATAATTCCACTCAGTGACCTTGAATCGGAAGTCAATTGAAGCCGAATTATGTTCAGTCCGAGTAAGTAGCCTGATTAGAGCAGACATAGCGTCCCTTACTGATATCTAACCCCACTGTCCTCTTCGACGTCCGTGTAACTCGAGTATGCTCGGCCAACAGGCAATATCCCAAAGGGGAAACGGAGCCGAAATCATTTGCCGTTCCGAAACATTTATGCCTAAGGCTGTAAGGCAGACAACATGCAGCCATAAATATCAGGCGCCACGGTATCAACGGTGTAAGGCGACAAGGCAGATATTATAGGTGTCAAGGCCACAAGGCCTTAAGGCCATAAGGCAATAGGGCAACAAGAGACCACAATATCAGGCATCAAAGCTATCCCCGATTGGGCATCTCCACCGTTCTAATCTCATTCTCGTCTTAATAGAATTCCACTCACACTTGCTTCCTTCGTGTGCGGTAGTGGAATTATGCATCACCCGCACTTTATCACATTGCAGTAGCCTGCATCGGTGGCCCCTCAACATGCAGAAAAATGCCGGTGGCGGCCTAGGAATGACGAGTCTATATTACTCCTGCATAAAGTCTCTCCCACCATGCGGTAATCCATCCCCGACTGTGTTTTGCCGGTTGACTTTCTACATCTCAACCCCCCTCAAGGCATTGATGGAAGATTGCGTTTTATTCCGGCATTTTACGGAATGAACTTGTTCATCATAACCAAAGTAAAGGACCAACGCCGAGAGAGCTCGACGTTTGAAGTCAACGATGGCCTTTGTGAGGCTAGAACCAACAAGTCTCTTCCGGGTGGTTCCGAATACCCCTTGGTCATTTACTCAGGCAATCTATCACCAACCTACTTTCGGCAATAATATCATACGAGCTCATGATTGCTCCCACCCTCAACTCGTGATGCTGTCCAAGAGCGGGGTTTGGCTGCCACTTTGAGGACTAGCCAATCCAATGGGCGCAGCACTTGCAAGCGGCAGGCATCGTATTCAATATCAAGGAAGTCATCAGAGGTAAACACGACAGCCTCGGGGAAGATTCTGGTTTCGGTTAAGCATAATCTTGAGTGTCAACAAGTCCACAATAACCCCTATCGGGCGCCCGGTACCCAAGCGTCTGATCGTAGCTGGCCTAGTTCGATAGCTCCAACTGGGGTGATGTTACGGTCCTCATCAAAGGGCGAGTGGTACCGCAATGTGGCTCACCAGGTTCTAGACAGGCTAGACAGACCACATAGATGGGGTTTAATTAGACTACCACCCCATATTGTCTGATTCGGTATCTTCTTTTGGCGTGGAATAAGCTCCTTCTATGGCTTCGAAGCTTGATGAGCCAAGACGCCGGAATCCAAGCTTAACAGCAAAATGTCTCAGTATAGTGTGCAGATGGACCGGATTTATGATTGATAGGGGCAACGTTACCCCATTTCCCCTGATTCGTGATACAAATGAGTGGTAATTGATACCTACGGAGTCCGACATATTCCCACCTTATCGTGACCACTCAGCTGTCCAGACTAGATGACAAAATTATCAGTCAGTCAACCAGGTCGATGCTAAATTTGGATGGCTAAATTTCTGCACTGGAGTCGAAACTCGAGGAGTAATAGCTGCTCGGCCGTCGACTTAATGGGTGGTCACTGGTGTACTACTATCACCGAAATCCGAAGACGGTTCCACTGTGGACCACTTGGCCGGCGTTCCTGGCGCCTTACCAAGAACGCCTAATTCGTTTTTTTTTTTCTTATTTCGCGCAGCTTTTCCAGCTCCTCTCATTTGACCAAAAGACCGACTAAAGATAAAGAGAGGCGTGGGGAGGACTGAAGCCATTAATAATTGAAACAAAATCGGTCTCAGTGGAAGTCAAGGAAGTAAAACTCTTCAAAGCTGCTGGAATGGTGATGCAGAATCGCCCCCTCGGTTCCCCTCTTGTTCTTCACCAGTGATGAACAGCCCTAACTGTCAAGCACGTCCAGCCTTCCATCCGCAACATCCTCAAACTACTAGCTACACCCTGATGGTCGCATTCGGTATTTTCCCGTCTATCATTGCCACAAGGACTCTGCCAAGACGGAGGAATTGCTTCTTTACAGAATTTCAATCCTGAGGCCCACCAGCCCGAGTGGATGGACTACTTTAGACTACCGAGACTAAGTGCGCCGGCGCGGGCATCATGAAACGCCGTAAATCCCCCGACTCGTTCCCAAGGTCCACCTATGACCTTCAACAGCCAGACAGCACAGTGGACCATCCAGCTCACTGTCCACGAACAGGGGCCATCACCGCGATGGACAAACCATGTGGCTACTACTCCTCTCTCCCCTTCCCATCTTGGTTGTCATCGATGCCTATCACTCCATCCATGGTCCGATATGATGGATCCCCTTCTACTACCTGCTCGGTCAGTACCGACTTTAGCGCCGGTGGAGTGACCGAGAAGAATCAACGGTTTGGCTCGATAGCCCTTGGCTACTAATGAAAGATGCACTTGGCCGTTTCATACTGATCACCCGTCCAATTTACCCAGAATAGGTCTGAGCCAAAGGCGAAGCTCTATCAGATTCTTGTCAGATGCTTCCGTCAAACTGACAAGTCAGTCTTCCCTATAAAAAGCCCCAATCCCATCCAGGTTGATCTCTTCTGTATCAAACCATTCCTTCCTTTCCTTTCCTTTCCTCTGCATACCTCTCTCTTCACCATAGTCTTTCTTTCCCCTTCTTAGCTGGTTCTAAACACTTCACCATGAAGTACTCTACTATCTTCAGCGCTGCTGCCGCTGTTTTCGCTGGTTCCGCCGCTGCCGTCGGCGTGTCCGGCTCTGCTGAGGGTTTCGCCAAGGGCGTCACCGGTGGTGGCAGTGCCACCCCCGTCTACCCCGACACTATCGATGAGCTGGTCTCCTACCTTGGGGACGATGAGGCCCGCGTCATTGTCCTGACCAAGACCTTCGACTTCACCGACAGCGAAGGTACCACCACTGGCACTGGTTGCGCTCCCTGGGGTACCGCTTCCGCTTGCCAGGTTGCTATTGACCAGGACGACTGGTGCGAGAACTACGAGCCCGATGCTCCCTCTGTCAGCGTTGAATAGTATGTTCTTGCCGGCTGTCATCCGCTTTTGATCTCATATCTAACCTAAATAGCTACAACGCTGGTATCCTCGGTATCACCGTCACCTCCAACAAGTCCCTCATCGGTGAGGGCTCCTCTGGTGCCATCAAGGGCAAGGGTCTCCGCATTGTCAGCGGTGCTGAGAACATCATCATCCAGTAAGTTATACTTGGTGACATTAGGAAATTGCTCTAACAAAATCAGGAACATCGCCGTTACCGACATCAACGCCAAGTACGTCTGGGGTGGTGATGCTATTACTCTTGATGACTGCGACCTGGTCTGGATCGACCACGTTACTGTAGGCCTTCACTTCTTCAGTTTACTAAATCAAGAGCATCAAGTTAACAAATGATAGACCGCCCGCATTGGTCGCCAGCACTACGTCCTCGGAACCAGCGCCGACAACCGCGTCTCTCTCACCAACAACTACATTGACGGTGTCTCCGACTACTCCGCCACCTGCGATGGCTACCACTACTGGGCCATCTACCTCGACGGTGATGCCGACTTGGTCACCCTGAAGGGCAACTACATCTACCACACCTCCGGCCGTTCCCCCAAGGTCCAGGACAACACTCTTCTCCACGCTGTAAGTTCTATCTCTCCCGGTCACTCTCGACTTAACTAATCACCAACACAGGTAAACAACTACTGGTACGACATCTCCGGCCACGCCTTCGAGATCGGTGAGGGTGGCTACGTCTTGGCTGAGGGCAACGTTTTCCAGAACGTCGACACTGTTCTTGAGACCTATGAGGGCGAGGCCTTCACCGTCCCCTCCACCACCGCCGGTGAAGTCTGCTCCACCTACCTTGGCCGTGACTGTGTCATCAACGGTTTCGGCTCCTCTGGCACTTTCTCCGAGGACAGCACCTCTTTCCTCTCCGACTTCGAGGGCAAGAACATTGCCTCTGCTTCGGCTTACACCTCTGTTGCCTCTAGCGTTGTTGCCAACGCCGGTCAGGGCAACCTGTAAATGAGTTAACTCATTTACACTAAATAGCAGTGGATGTAATTAGGGGACGCGGTGTTGTTGATAAGTTATCTTTCGTGTATCTACTTCTACTATAATTACTCATGGGGAGTGTTCACGACCCTAATGTGGTTGATAACCAGCCAACACAATGACATTATTCTCTGTCAATTGCTCTGCTCAAGTAGATCTTGTTCTGTTCACATTTAGCGACGAGTATACAGTGCAAAAATTTGATAAGATGGCTGTCGGTAATTGAAATTTCCACCCGTTATCCCAAAATAGGAATAAAGACCTAATCTGGATAGCCGAGCCGGATATACTTCACCCCAAACAGTCCTTCAGGAGTAGATGCATCATCCTGGAATTGAATGTTCTTTTCATCCACACTGACTCAAGATTTACCCTTTTCTTTATGAAAACATGGAGTAGCAAAGCAACTCAAACATACATCAAGATATCACGATAACAATACCCCGTACAGTCTGTGCAGTATACAGCTGCTATAACGATCATGTTTGAACTTATTCTACAATTACTTAAGCCCATTTGACAAGCAACAAAGGCTTCTGGAACATTATGTTGGAGGATTGAATCGAATAATCATCTTCATTATGCGATAACTTCTACAACTCAATTCACCGGGACCTCATCTTTGACTCACAGGATGACATCGTCAACACTTGTATATTTGTACGCGAAGTACTAAGAGAACGTACTTGAGAATAACAAACCAAGTCAAATACACTACAGCTTCTGATGTCACTATACCTCAACACCTGGAGAGTGTGTCAAGTCTAGATGTTGTAGACGTAAGGATGTGTATACACCACATGTCCATGTATCCCTATAGGGCTGTGCATTACTTCCATCCAGCGGAACCATACTAGTAAACACAGATCAGACTCAGCTATTGGCCCAAAGAGGTAGCGTCGATGAGGTAGACGTGGTATATAGAACATAGAAGGTGTCATAAACCTTAAATGAATGGAAGTATAAGAGCCCCCCGTTTCTTGCAAGCGGAAATCTTTTACTCTTTCCCTTCTTCAACTACCTACTCCTTCACTTACTACGCTTGAAGTTCAAATATAAGAACACACTTCTAGCTATTATACTTGCTCTTGCTTTTTGCTCTTGCAAGCTGCTATCCATCTACTCTTCTCTTTTCTCTAACCAAACAAACCATCCTCTTTTTACGACCAACAACAGTCGACATGGACAAGATTGTGTCCTTCTCCAACTGGCTCAAGGTAGTCAAAGCCAAGAGTCAGCCAGCCGCCCCTATTTATGTCTCCAAGTCTAATGGCAACGATAACGAACCGCCGAAGAAGAGGCAGAAGGTGTCACATCATTCTCCTTTTGCCGTTGATGGTGTTGTCGAGGAGCCTACTACCCAAGACGATGAACAGAGCATCCGTGTTATTGAAGGTGAAGTCGTCGAGTTTATGGGGATTGATGATTATGAATTTGGTGCTCCTTTGAAGAGAGTGCCTACGCCTCATCCTACGAAGAATAAGGGTCGGTATGATGATGATGACGAAGATGAAGAGGGGCAGTGATTGAATGATGTAACTTGCCTCCGTTGAGGTATCTCTATGATGTATTGCTCTTGATTAATCTGCTGTATTGGTATTTGAAGCGATGTTGTTTGTCTTTTGATACCACCGCCTCTAGTATGACAATGTTTGTTAGCGAGATGTTTCTGATGTCTCTTTTGAGTTGGATTTAGTATCTCAACTAGGTTGCTTGTGTTGGCCTTGAATAAATTAATGTGATTTCCACTTCCATCTTTCTTGTGTGTAGTAACTGGTAGGGAAAGTAGATGGTGGATGTCGTGAAGCTGAAGTTCCTTCCCGTTTAGTTTATCCATCCCAACGATACATATCTTGTACAACGGGCAGCCTTCTCATCTACTTGTTTCTCGGTATGTGAATATCGTTCAATACATGCATTCAATCGTTTCCTAATGTCACACCACATTCTGCTATACATCATTTCACAAACAGCGAGCTGACACCTCCTAAAGCAGAAGCCCCGACCATAACTCGCCATAGCATGTGAAACCCACCTACAAGCATCTCCTTCTGATCCCTACCCTGCTGCGATAAAGAGACCTCGCCTGCATGGAACTCCAAGTGACTTCTCTCTGCGCCCTCTTCCCTCACTATTCGATGCAAAACAATTGCCCCACCAACAGGAACAGCAATACACATCCCCCACGTCCGCAGAAGAGAGTACATGAGGATGCTTGATGCTGGATAGTGCTCACTATCTCTGCTCGGCTGGTGTATGTGGTGCACCCCTCGATGGTACCCAGAAATAAGGAGGGAGTGGCCTATTCCTGCACCAAGCAAGATGAAAACCCATATTTGAGGTGGAGTGTTGATGTCTAGGATAATAAAGAAGCCTGTCGCAAGGACGCTGCACAACCATCCGATCCGGACCATCCAGGCGAAGGTACTCGGGCCTCGCAAAAGTCTCACCCTTTCTGTCAGAATGAGCGCTACTAATGCCGGGCTGAGGACCGTGAGGAGGCTGAGCCCTTCGAATACAGACGATAAGTCTTGGACTAGTCTTAGATACAAGGCACAGTTCAGGAGATGGCAGGATAACTATCGCAAGTCAGTGATTTCGTCCGTTTCCACAAGCCGATGACTTACCAAGAATCCGTGCAGCAAGCTACCTAGGTACAACATGGTCCTTGCGATGCCGCTGAAGATTGTCGACGAGAAAAGCGGGTGGACGGACCACAGACTCTCGTACAGGATTAGGACGATGATCGAGGCTGCTCCAGCACCAAGGACTACCAGTGCGTGCCAATTAGTCCAGTCGTATAATATCCCGCCCCAATTGATGCCTATGAGAAGGCAGCCCATTCCCATAAAGGTCAACACGGCACCCTGCCAGTCAAGCTCGCACGCTTTGCACTTTGCGATACGCTTGTACGTCCGCAACTCAACTGCGAACGGAATGACCAAAAGTCCGAGTGCGCAGAAGACGAGACTGGCATAAAAGGTCCAGACGGCGTGATCGACAAGCAACCCACCGAAGATGAGGCCAACAATGGCCCCAACCACTCGAGTCTGAAAGGCATACCCAGTAAGTCGGGCCTGGTGAGGATATGGGATGACTTCATCTATCATCATAAGCGAGGTCGCAATTACTCCTCCACAGCCTACGCCTTGGACAAACCGCCCTGGAACCAGACAAGCTAAGCTCATCGAACCACTACAGACCCCCGTTCCCACTGTGGCCAGCACAGCAGCTCCAAGGGCAATAGGCCCTACCCCAAAAATTGCTGCGAGCATGACAGAGAATGGCTGGCTTGCCGCACTAGCCAGAAGGTATGATGTCTCAATCCATAGTGTGTTTCCGAGTGGCAGTTCAGATGTGGCTGATAGATTCTGCTCTATCCATATCAGGTGATCAGACGTTTAGATGGGGACGGACATATGAACACACATACTGTTATCAGGGGAAGCACTACGGTCGCATTGAAGGCATCCAGTGTCATCAATAAAGAGACGCAGGTCAGGACCAGCCATTCTTTAACACCGAGTTTCCATTCCGCGGCCAGATTCGCCGCGGCATTGTGGCGCAGATGCTCTGCGCTGGCAACCTCGACCAGGTTCTGAGAACTAGCACAATTGCAAAGTTGCGGCTCCAGGCCATCCTTCGCATGGCTGAATTCAATATACTCAACTCCCATAAGGAATGGTACCGCAGGTCTCTCGCGGGCACGCTGGACAGTTTCCACGACACGTGGAGGAATACGCTGGTCAAATAAGACTTCACACTAGGCTATCATCGTTCTGGAAGGGGTCTGCTACAGCACTCGAAAAGGACAGATGGTGAGAGTACGAAATGCAAGGGGCATGGCACAGACCGCGTGGTAGAGGCACATGTTCCTGGGGAGATACAGGCACCTAAGCTGAACATGGGGATGAGGGCTGGTTACTGGGCAGCTGTGACGATTGGCTCAGCACAACTATGATACACGAGCTGCCTGATTGGTGGTCCTCACATTCCTCCGTCCTGGAAACTCAAGGTCCAACTCTGGCTACTGGGGCAAAGGGGCTGCCGCACAATGACTGGTATGTGAGCTCTGACCTCGGTGACTTAATCCCGGAGCAGTGATCTAAAGCGTTGTAGAAGAGTTGCTCCATGCCATCCCGGAGGACACCATTCACGTGAATGCATGTAACCAATCTCTCTATAGACGAGCAGGAAGCACATAGCCTCCGATATCTGCAATAAACTTCATTGCTTTCGCCATGAAATCCGCAACGTCTCGACCTAGCCATGAGGGGAGCAATGCCATCCTTGTCGACTCCATCTCTCTGAGAATTCTTCCAGCAACCTAGCACATAAGTCCCTTAGTGCAACTGTATATCACAATCACTTGTGCGATTCAGTGTACTCACCAGCATACAAGAGCCCCTTCGGTCCGTATCCATCCCGACCTGCTCAATAACTTCCGCCACCCGTTCAGGTGAGTTCGCCTCGAGCCCAGCATCCTGCCAGTTTTGAGAAAAACCAGCCGTCATTCTAGTCGGGGTCATAAACGGCGCAACTGCATTAACCCGAATGCCATACTTCTGCGCCGTCACTTGCGACGCCCGAAGCAACCCCACAACACCGTGCTTGGAAGCCACATAAGCCGTGACACCCGTTCCTCCAAAATACCCCGACGTAGAAGCCACCAGCACAATTGACCCGTTCTTCTTCTCCTTCTCTTTCATGTGATACATTGCCAGTCGCAGTGCTTCAAACCATCATCAACACCATTAGCACAACACACCCCAGAACACGAAAAGAAAACACGAAAGGTAAACATACTACTCATAGTCCCCAACAAATTAACACCCACCACCCTCCTCGCCTCCAAACCCTCCCTCAACTCCCCCGTCTCCTCATCAACATCCTCCAAATCCAAAACAGACGTAGACTCCATCATCCCCGCATTCGCAACCACCACATCCACCCCACCATATTCCCGCGCAATTATCCTAAACAGACGTGTCATTTGTCCCCAGTCCAGAATATCAGTAGGAAGAAAAACCGCCCTTTCCGGATGCGGGAATGTACCCTGGATCAGGAATTCAGTGGCCTCTTGGTGAGTGGGCAGATCAGTGAGGATGATGGTGCTGGTCGGGTGGATGGCGTTGAAGTGTCGGGATGTGGCCAGGCCGATGCCGCCGGCGGCGCCGGTTATGAGGATTGTTGCGTTGGTTGTGGTCATTGTATCATACTAGTTGGGGTTGGGGTTGTGGTTGTGGATGAGTATGTGGATTGGTTATATAGTAAGTTAAGTACTAAATGGTGTGATGGGGAAGAGAGGGGGTGATGGGATGATGAGGAGATGCGGGGTTGTCGGTTATTACTACTGTAGGTAGTAAGTAAGGAGTTCTTATGGTTGTCAATATGATGGGGGCAAGGAACTCTGCTTGGATTTATGAATCTGGTTTCTGATTAAGTAGAACTATTGATTGTTTTGCTGGTGCTCAGGTCCCTGGTCTGCGCTACTTTTGTATACACTATCAATTAGGACTAATACCACCGCATACTCCTCACAACATGGCAACAACATCAAACTATCTATCGGGTATATACATCAATCAATCAATCAATCAATCAATCACTCATGCCTCATCAATCAATTAATCAATCAATTAATCCATCTTATCGCGCGACGGCGGTCTCGAAAGCCGCGACACCTCCGCCGACGACTTGACACTATGCGCGGTACTTATAGCATGGAACGAGAAGTCCAACTCGCCTACTAGGGCTTTGACGTCCCTACACCAAATAGATCACACTCATTAGCAAATCTCATTCCAGTCCACGATCCACTGGAAGGAAACCACTCACCTCATTAATCTCTCCACATCACCCACGATGCAACGTGTCGAGATCTGCAGTACGGAAAACGTAGCGAACCCTGGCTCTGCGATGTGTCGCAGACTAAGAATATCCTTGTCAAGCGCCTCCAGACGCTTGGAGAAACTGTAGGGACGGGGTGTTTTCAGATACGGAGGTAGCGGTTGGCGGTTTGTTATGCTTGCGGATAGGAGACAGAGCACGGTGGTGATTTCGTGGGTTGTGACGCGGGCGCTGGCGACTAGTCTTTTGAAGTCGTGGACCCAGGCGGAGTCGGATTCGTCGTCGCCGTCGAGTTGCAGGAGGGTGTCGGAGGCGTAGCCTAGGAGACTGAGGTAGCTTACGATGCTGGTGGTAGTTAGTATTGTGAGTGTCATTATGGGTAGTAAAGGGTGGGGGACACGCACTTTTCGATGCAGGTTATGATACTGTTATATCGTTTTTTTGGAAAGCGACCGCCGATGGCGACTTCCCAGTTCAGGAAGCCGGCATACGTTCGGAGGTTGTTCAGCATTAGCATTTGTTTTGAGAACACCTTGTTACGCGCCTTCAGAAGCCGGCGGCCTGATGATGTCTTCAGTGCTAGATCACCCTCGTCGCCGCGCATGCGCGCATTTACGGTCTCGTGGATAACGGAGTAGTAGTTGGCTAGGAGGTACAAAGAGGCTCCTAGACTTTGACGTAGGACGGAGTGTTCCGAGATCGGATAAGGGAAGAATGTCCATATGAAGGCCACGGCTATACCAGCGCTCACAGTCGCCAGTCGGTATGGGCCGAGGAGGTAGATGGGATAGTACTGCTGGCCATTGGAAGTGGCCACCTCTTCTCCAATCTTACGCACCTCGAGCTCGTAGCCCACGATCATCGATGTAGAGATGATGGTGATGATTCCAATGATTCGAAAGCGGAAGATCTTGATCGGCACGTAGAAAACGCACGTCAAAAATATGAACAGGAATACGATGATTCCAGGGGTCTTTTGCCCCGGGATATACCATGCCAGAAGACTGAGCACCATGGCCAGAACCGTACCGAGGAGACGAAGAACGAAGCCGAATATGCTTTGCCCGGAAGTGGGTGACATGCTGAGGTTGACCATGATCATGGCCCAAACGAATCGCTGCTTGACGAAGAAATCCTGCGTATCGTGAAGGAAAGCAACCACAGCAACGGTCATCGTAGCGCACGCAACTCGGAACCCATATGCCGACTCGGGAGAGCGCAATGCCGTGGGTATAAGGCGAATCTTGTCACCGATTTTCTCCAACGTATTCTCTGGCGGCAGGTGTTCCGGATCCTTTCGGTGCTTATAAGCCTCGCCCAATTGAAGGATGTTGTTCTGTGAGTTGATGTCACCACCCAAGTTGTCATCCTCATGTGAGTCCTCCGCCTTGAAAGCGCTGATGAACCATTTCAGCAAACGCTTGGAGCCAGGAATTACGAGGCGCTTTCGTGCGAGCTTCCCACTTGCAACCTTCTCGTCTGCAAACTGGATAAAATCATGGACAACGTGGCCAGTTGATTCGAGCAGCTGCTCCACCTGTGATATAGTTAGCATCAGTAGACATCAAGTATGAGAGCAAGCTTACATAGAGAATCAAGTACAGCTGCCGTCGGCTCCTGTCTCGGCCGACTCCAAACTTGTCATCAGGGATATCGTCCACATCCAAATGTACAGATGACGGGTGCTCGAAAAAGTCAGGTGGCAAGATTATCCCCTTCTCTTCGCTCCAAGTTCGCAGGGCAACCCGCTTGGCGTACTTGAAGTTGCGAAGCTTTTTCTCGTAATATTCGCCAAAGCCTTTCTCGCCCGGTTTCGGACTAGCCGTTGCCTCTACATCTTCCGGCTCTTTGCCCGCTTTCGATGGTTTTGGCGGCTTTGTTAGCTCAAGCTGAAGAGACACATGATGCAGACCCTCGTCAATTGTGTGGATCATTGAGCTGAAAGGGTCATGGACTGCTCTCATGATCTCGTTCCACTCCAGTCTAACCCTCTGGCGTACCTGATCGGGAATTTCTGCCCCAGTCGCGTCGATGGGCTGGTTCCATTTGTTGTAGTCAGACAAGCGCTGGAATATGTCCACAACAAAACTTAACCCGACTACGGGTATCATGGTCTGGCGCAGGTGTCGGAAGATGGCTTGGAGATCATCTGGCCCAAGCTTCCCAATTGCAACTTCGCGCTTGGCGAATGTCAAATCGCCATGAATTTTTGCATGAAGGTCTGTGACTTTCTGACAGGCTGTACGGATAGCTTGCGCCTCGGGGCTATACACCTTACCCTTATCGGTGACCTTCTCTACGGTCGAATCGTACGTCTCTGCCCTCCCGAACATGTCGTCTTTTTCCAACGTCTCGAAGTACGCCGTGTGTGCATTGAGGGCAGCACGCAGACCGCCGATATAGCCTGCCATCTGCTTGAAAACTATGCCTCGCGTACTCTTTGGAAGTATGAACAACGAGACACCCGTTGCCACTCCCAACCCGGTCAGGCATGCTTCGAGCAATTTCTTGACGAGCGCAATCGCAGCAGCCATGGTCCCAAGCCTAGAAGCATAAACAAAAGCAACATTGGCAACAATCGAGTAAATAATCACGGGAAACTGAAACTGCTGAAATTTGGCGCGAAAGGTGTGAACGAGATAGATCTCAAAGAACAACCAAACGCCACTGACGGCTGCTGCAGACGAGTTATATGCTGTGCTTCCGTCGGCAGCGGCAGTGGCAGACTCAGAATGCTCCCGTGCCTTGACACACGAGTACATCATTAGTAGAGCAACAGCTGATGCAACACAAACAGCTAATACGTCGAGGACCATCATCTGAATGAACTTGGCCCGAGGCATGATTGAGAATCCCAAGACGGAGATGATGGCTACTAGATATCCGACAGTATTGAAAAGTGATGCCACAGCATCCGCTTGATATCTTGATTCTCGTTAGTCTGGCATAAGTAGCAGAAAATCGTAGGTAAACTTACATAGCTACACAAATTGTTGGTGCAAGGGCACCCCTGCAAAACCAATCAATACAAGCTCAGCAGTTGAGAGACACAGAACATACTTCATCATAAGAAGCAGAGTCGGCATATCCAGCTCCAAGCTCTTCCAACCCCGTTTCAGCTTGCTGAAGAGCTTCCATTCGCGGTTCCGTCGTCCATCATCTTCGCCGGGTAAGACCCGCGAGGAGGACTGGTCCGAGTCGACCTGAGCTGCCATCGTGAAGTGTATTTTATGTACACCTACCCACGATAAAGCTCCTTTCGCTCGTTCTCACCCCTGAATGCCAGATAGGAATGATCCAAGAATCCGGGGCACGAGCCGGCCCCTCATCCACGGCCTCACTTCCCCAGACCACGTGATGCGATCGGCGACGCCAGATGCAACTCGGCTAAACTCTCGCAGAGTGCAGATTGGACGCCTACTGGACTGGGCGAGAAAGAAGAAAGCAGGCAGTTGCGTAAGCTGGAGTTATCTCCGGCAAGGATTTGTGTGGCCGCGGGGGATTTTCGCTTCGCTTCTTGCTTCGGAAAAGGAAGAAAAGAGTCCAGAGAGGGAGAAGTTTAAACTTCGCAACAGTCGAGGTAGTGGCGATCGACCGCCGACTTTCCCAAGTGGATCCTTGGGCCGTCTGCCAAGAGCACAACCAGTTTTTGCACCGAGTCGGTGATTTGTTGCCTCTGTTTACCGATAAGCTACCTAGTCTAGATTGTGCTCGTGTTAAATGGGTCGCTTTACCAGCAGATGTAGTAGTGAAGATAAGACCAGCTTCAGACTTGCAGTGTGAGATACCAAGACTCGGATCTCGGTAACTTGACGGGCTCCAGACTGAACGGAGATGCCGCGTGGTGCCTGGAATTGGCTGGAATGGTTGGAACTGCCCGGATGCTTGGTCGATAGACCCACTGCCATGCAGGAATCGACATCATCGTACTGGAAGTAGTCGACCTGTTGAGGATTAGATCAACGGTCATGTCTGGTTTTAATAGACATATCAATGGGGGAAAGAACTGGCATACTCAACTGGATTATGGCACAGAGGATGAGAGAGGGGATGCTTGCTTTTCTTTAGCGATGAAGACCAGGAGATTTGTGAGGAGTAGAATTCGTGGCAGTCAAGGCAGGTGACCTAAATGTCAACTCCTGCTCCAATTCAGCCTCGATAATCAAGTGCTATGAGAATCATTATCGACAGTCGCTCTTTTATGTTAGCCTCCCATTAGTCGAGCGGTCGCTCATGCCGACTGTCCACCTCCACAATTCTCCATCAACCTTGTGGGTACGAATCCCTTCGAGGGATTTGTTTTTTGAACCCCTTCTTTTTCCTCCTCTCTGCCAGTTACATTCCCCCTTCATGCTTGTCGCGCGTGAAGGATGTCAAATTCTTGTTGTTATAACCGATTTGACAGAGAAATTGCGATGATACTTCATATACCACGTCCATTGCCAACTATTTACATACAGTACGACCATCTAGTCTACTACGAAATCTAGTACTCAGGCCACCCAGGATCAACCTGCTCTTTCCAGGCACGGAATCCTCCCCGAATATCAGCCACGACCCTCTTCCCTCCTTGATCCAATCCCAGCTCCTTCAACTTCTTAACAGCAACCTGGGAATCATTGCCCAATCGACACACCACATACACGGGGTCGGTAGACTGCGGTGACGCTACGTCCGCCGGCACCCATGGAGGTAACGCAGGCACACCATCAGCCGGCGAGTCCCCGTTACTCATAGAGCTCGACGCAGAAGCCAGAATCGTGGATATCGGGATGTTGATGCTATTGTCCAGACTACAAATGTCGTACTGGACCTTCTCCCTGACATCGATGACTGTCGGTTCCTTTTCCTCCTTGCCGTGATGCCTTGTACGATACTCGCGTGGTGTGATGCGCTCCTCCGGTGACAGCAAGTTTTCTGGACCTGCGGTACCGCAGAAGAAGATGTAGTCGGTAGAGCCAGAGCGGACAGTATCCACCGTGACTGTGGCCTCGGCAGAGCAGACCGCACAAGTTGGCCGACGAGAGCGAAGTTTGATCGTGCGGAAGAGAGGTGTAGAGTATGCGGAGAAGATGTGCAATGATGGCGGCGGGGGTGTAGTTATTTCGTCCGCTGTAATGACCTTGATTGCTTCTAGGGCCTGCAAAACGCCCATTGTTCCTACCACGGGGCCCACGATACCCCCATCCGCGCAGCTAGTGACAGTATTCGCTGGAGGCGGCTTCGGAAACACACAGCGGTAGCAAGGACCTCCGGTCTTGTCGCCTGCAGGTCGGGGAGGGTTGTTCAATACCATGAGTTGGCCTTCTGTGCGCAGAGCAGAGGCCGACACCAGTGGCTTGCCCAGGAGCACCGCAGTATCCGAGATGAGGTATCGAGTCGCGGGATTATCCGTGCAATCGAGAATCAAGTCGTAGTTGCTGAAGATCTCTGGGGCAGCTTCAGGCGCTAGATGTTCCCTGTGAGCGATGTATTTGGAGTGAGGGTTCAGCCTAGAAAAAGCAGCCCATGGTCAGTATACTGCACAAATAATAGTAACTGAATCCCAGATGTCAACTCACTCCTTCAAGTACTCAATAGCACTATCCACCTTCAGCTTCCCAATATTCCTTGTCCGATGTAAGACCTGACGATGGAGATTGGACGACTCCACAGCATCACCATCCACAAGTCCGAGCGTACCAACACCAGCTCCAGCAAGATACAAAGCTGCCGGACATCCCAGCCCACCAGCTCCTACAATCAACACCTTCGCCGATCGGAGTTTCAGCTGCCCTGCGTTGCGAAAGCACTGGTCAGTAATCCTAGATCTCCCAAACCCAGGGGAGGGGCACAGTTCACGAACCTTGTATTCCTAGCTGTGGCACAATCATCTGCCTTCCATAGCGTCGATACTCTTCGTCTAGGAGAGGCCACCTCCTCTCAGATCCCTCTTCAGCGTCCGCTGCATTGTGGCTCGCGGCAGCCTGTTCTGCGACTTCGAGCTCACGCTTCAGGTCCGCAAGTTTGGCTTCAGTAGCAGCAATCTGCGTGCGCAAAGATGCGCACGTCTGTTCGAGTCCGTTCATGGACAGAGACTGTCTAGGTATCTGGAATCCGCAATCCCTGTCTGAGGTATGCTCCGGCATTCCTGACGGAGGCGCACCCCGCTCGGAAGACTTTCTCCATCCATCTTATCAGCCTATCTGAGGCTAAACCATTTCTGGTTATCACATTGACACCTGGATTGTCAGGCCAATATCTGCCGTCTTGATACTGAACTGCGTCTTCCACCTTGACATATTCCAAAGTCTCTCTTTATTAAAACTATGTAATGATTACTACAACCCCAAAACCAAATGAAGGTAGTCCACTGCACATCCACCAAGACTACGACCCATTCTTCCTAATTATCTACCTTCAGAGATCGCTTGAGCCTATTACGGACCAGTGTCTGCTGCTCGAATGCATATGCCATCCCTATCAGCTCTTCTTCACTCCATTTCTGACCCAGAAAGCTGACGCCAAAAGGGATACCAGGAGCACGCTGGATTAAGTCACCGCGGGTGTTGTATTCCACTGGTGTCCCATCTGGATATGCTCCCAGAGGAACAGTGATACCTGGGGTACCAACAACAGCTGGGATGTCGAAGCCCACAAGAGTGGGCAGAATGACAGCGTCGAGTTTGTCACGGGACAGAGCTCCTAATAGTCCTCCTTCCCCTCCATAATAGAGGGTTTGCTGATACAAGGACCAAAAGCTCGGGGATGTGTTGTTCATGCCCAAAGCAATCGTTTGATCCCACAACCCCGTGTCGCGCGACGGGTAATCTTCCAATGCGCTATGCTGGGTGAAGTTCCTAATGTCTTCAAGGCTATGTATATTGTTTGGGTTCTGCCCCAGATTCTTCAGATAGCTTTTAATGTTCGTCGAAAAATCAGCAGCCACAACAATGGCCGGTTTCAGGCTACCATAAAAGTCACTGTACGCTGTGAAATTCGCATTATCCACGACGGCGGCGCCTGCAGCCCTTATAATAGTGACTGCGTTTTCGAATGCCGAAACTATAGGAGCACCTGCGGGACCTAAGTAGTCGATGACGTTTCGAGGAATACCAATACGCTTGCCCTGTAGCCCCGACAGCTTGCAGGCTGCCAAGTAGTCAGGCAATTTTGCTGCGAAGGGTGAAGCCAAGGTATAATTGTCCTTGTCATCTGGACCAGCAATTACTTGTAACAAGACAGCTGCGTCTTTAACTGTCCGAGCCAAGGGTCCAATGGTGTCCTGGCGCTCGCTAAGAGGGATGACCATGTAGCGTGAAGTAAGCCCAACGGTTGGCTTGATTCCGACGATGTTGTTCCTTTCGCTAGGAAGCAGTATACTCCCACTAGTCTGATTTACCACAGTCAGCGCGTATTCCATACATAAGAGGTATTTTCTGACGTACCTCAGTTCCCAGGGCAAACGTACTGAGCCCCAGATCAGTCGCAACAGCACTACCACTCGAACTTCCATTCGGGTCCTGGTCAGGATAGTATGCCCCGAATGTATAACCACGTCGCGCATTCCATCCATTTGACGAGTTTACCGAACGAAAGTTGGCCCATTCCGACATACTAGTCTTGCCCAGGATGACCAGACCATTTTCCCTGAGCTTCGCCGCCACAGTTGAATCTGCGGGAACCTTAGCTCCAACAAGCGCCCAAGAGCCAGCTAGCATATCGTCAGTCAATGCGATGAATCCAATCAGTATAAAGGGATGATACCTGCTGTTTGCATATTATCTTTCGTGCCGATCATGTCTTTGAGCAAGACTGGCAGGCCATGCAGCGGACTACAATAGTCAATCAGCCACCCACCCAATACCATTGCAGATACAGCAACTTACCCTCGGATATGCCCTTGTTTCCTCTCACGATCTAGCTGCTTCGCTATACTCAGCGCATCGGGGTTCAACTCGAGGATTGTACCAAATTGCCTATCAATCTCACGGATTCGAGCAGTATACGCCTGTAATTGTCAGCATCTCACCGGCACAGTAGTACAAAATGCAAGTGAAAGGGTAGAGGTCACCAACCTTGACCAAATCTACACTATCGAAGCACCCTTTCTTAAGACCATCTTGAAGCTGCTCTGCTGTTGCTTCAACTAGCCGTGGGATCCGACACTCCTTCGCTCCAAGTGAAGCCGCGTCCGCCAGCATGAGACAATGTACCATGAGAAGGGTCGCAAAGACCCAGTATCTCCACTCAAGCAACATCGCTGAGGGTTGGCCAATGTATTCTGATCTCCGGATGATGTACCAAGAAAGAATGTCAATTGTTGAAGACTTTACCGAAGAGTAAATAATTCTCTCTCTTCCTCATTAAGTACTACTAGCTGGTGGTTCATTCTTCACCGCAACTTGACACCACGATGAGATACTATCGAAAGCTTCAAGACCGATAATCAACTGAAACAGGGGCGAAGTAAGAGATGGATAAGGAAGGTACAACTGACCGCCAGCTCAGCCTCAAAGCTGAGTTACCGAGTGGAGTTAACTAACCACCATAGATAGTTAATGGCAGGTGTAACTCTATTTTTGCTTATTTCTGCCAACTTTGTTTAAAAATAAGCAGTAGTACTCCGCACTACTGGTTACTTTCACTTCAGATATCGACTTGCCCACTTCTTAGAACCTAATCTCTGCATCAGATCAACTGCTGAACTCAGTTCAACTACACCCCAAATCTGTCAACATAACCACCCAATAAAAAAGATAAAAGAGACAAAATATGCCAGCGACCTAAATAACCTCCCCATGTCTCAGCCCAACACGAGGACATCTAAGAATAGCACCATTCCATCAATCTCAATCTCGGAGTATTTAGGGTTAAGCGGAAAAAGGAAAAAGAAAGAAGGTAAAAAGCAATATAAAGCAGCGGCAAGGCTTATTCACAAGTTCACTCAATTGCCAGTCAATAGCGGTGGTGTGGTACTAGGATTAGAGACATTAGTATTAGGACTAGATACTACCTCCTGGTCTTGATGCTAATCCTCCGGTTGAGAATGGAGTCGGTCTATTTAGTGAAAGTTTAAGGATGTCTGAGACTTTATTGAGCAGAAGTCTCTTTATTGAGTGGGCTGTTGTGGTCAATAAGGTTATGCTCGAGTTGATACCGCTCTGGTATCAATAGTTTATTTGTGTTGTAGTCTACAATCTTGGATCCTGGTGAGACTCGGTGACTTGCGATTTCATGATGATTTCCCTTTATCCCGAGGCGTCAGTTCTGACGAATAGTCCTAGCCTGTTAAAAACTAACTGTTCTTGTGTAATACTTTCTACATCAGGAGGTGGCTGGGTCTATCGTGGCTGGATATAAAATTTTCTCAGTTCTACCGGAACAATTTCATTGGACGCAGGAATAGAAAAAGAAACCATGCACAGTATCACACAACGTCAGTCCAGCCGGTGTCAGAATCATCTCGAGATCCTAGTAATAAAAAAAACCCGATTCTATGAAGACCGATATATAAGCCCCCATCTAACATCTAGATCTATGCTGATTCGCCCAACTTTAAAACCATCCAGTTATACCCAGAGACGGGTTATATATTTCATTCGTACAAGGACCGATCTAGCCCAGCTAGACCTTGTCCTGCTCATGGCGAACACGCTCGGTCTCCTCATCTACGTCCTCGATGTGGGAGGAGCCGCGCTTGTGCATAGTATGTTCCACCGCAGCACGGCGGTCCGCCTCGTTGACAGCGCCGAAGAGGATGTCCATGTCCTCGAGACTGCGGCCCTTGGTCTCCTTGGCGAAAACGATGACGAAGACACACATGGCAACGCAGAAGATACCAAACATGAGGAAAGTCCGCCAGCCAATGTTGTGGACAGCTTTGGGGGTGATTTCGGTGACGACGAAACTCCAGAGCCACTGGGATGTGGCTGCCAGGCCGACACCGTATGAACGCAGCCGTGTTGGGAAGATCTGTCAGGCCTGTTAGATAATTTTTGTCCAGAGGAGCTCAGTGACGGTTTTCTTACCTCGCTCACATACACCCAGGGAGTAGGACCCCAGGAAGCCGAATAGCCGATCACGTAGAGATAGATCATGACCACCATGGCGATAGAAGCCTGGGAGACACCACCAGCGCTAGTGTCGGGAGGGTGTGTGGCCAATACAGCGCCAATGATGAACATCATGCTCGCCATCCAAATGGATCCGCCGACCAGACTGAGCTTCCGACCCCAACGGTCGATACCAACGAACAGGAAGATAGCCGTCGCGACAACCTTCACAGTTCCGTAGACGCCAGTAGCGAAAAGAGACGAGTTAGTCGCGCTAAGTCCGACAGTTTGGAAGATCTCAGGTGCGTAGTATCCGATTGAATTGGTGCCCGTAAATTGTTGTGAAAGCATGAGAGTGAAGGCGAATCCGAAGCGTTTGAGGTTACTCGGCTGGATGAACTCCTTGTATGTCAGCCCCTCGGTAGCTGCTACCTCTTCATCGATGGCTGCTCGGATTTCAGCAAACTCCTTCTGAATCACTTCGCTATCAGGAGACTCGTTTCTGATGTATGCGAGAGACTGAAGAGCTTCTTCATGTCGTCCTTTACCAGCCAGCCAGCGAGGAGATTCTTTGAGGAAGAAAAGGCCGAGGAGCATAAGACCGCCAGGAATCAGCTGAACAGCGACGGGGACACGCCATTGCTTCGTGCTTGAGGGAATATGCAGGGAGACACCATAGTCCAGCCAATAGGCGAAGGTGCTTCCGATGACCAGAAACTCCTGGAACATCCCAGCAACTCGGCCTCGAATGCTTGGAGGGCAGTTCTCGCTCACAAACACAGGCGTGATACTGGACATTCCACCAATTCCCAAGCCAGCTATAACACGGCCACCATAGATCTGTCCAATGTGATGCTTCGAGGCAACTTGAACAGCGGCTCCGATAAGAAATACGACGGTGAAGACCATCAGTGCATAGCGTCGGCCAATGCGCTCGTTAAGGGGGGCAGCGAAGATGGCGCCGAAGAAGCAGCCGGCGGTCAGCAAGGACACGACATTGGATGAGATTTCAGAGCTCTTGGAGGAAGCAAAACCAGAAGAGCCAGTAGGTATTCCAAAATCTTCCTTGAAGCTGGTCAGTGAAAGAACACTTCCCATAACACCCGTATCATAACCTAGTAGTCATCAAGTGTTAGTTCACAGAGCGTATCTGATTCCCGAGTGTATACATACCGAAAAGGAGTGACCCCGAGTAGGCCACTGCTGTGAGGAGGTAAACGCGGTAGTTCTTGAGGAGACTCATTGTGGGAGGATTGTCCAAAGACTGGTAGGCAATTGACAATTGATCCTAGCAGTGCAGGGCATTCCCAGGGAAAGAAAGAGAACCAAGGGAGAGGCCGAAAGTCTCACTTCCCGGAGGTCATACGAATATTTAACACAGTCGTCTCCATCTTACTAAACTGTGTAGGGACAGATCCCGAAGGCTGAAGAGCATGCTAGAGATCAATCGGTCGTGCCGAGCAGAAACCCGATAGGCCCTGGCGAGGGAACAACCCCAAACATCAGCGGCCATGATACCCGCACACCCGCAGAGACAAACCCCATCTCTCCCCGCACATTAAGCTGGATCCAGCAATTCCGGGGGAAGGGAGTGAGTTGGTGGCCCACGGTGGATACATTCGGAGAAATTGTGCGGACATGCTAGGCGGGTTTTTCCGTCCACTGAGGAGCGTTGCTGCACTACGCTAGAGACCGACTTGACTGCGACTGGTAGATTCAACGGTAGCTCTGCTTGTTGGGGTAGTAGTCGTCTCTGATTATCATGCCATGAGTGATGGCAAAAATCTGCTCTATGACGTGCGGACTTAATCTGATCCATGATGACGAGGTTGCAGCATTCACAAGGATGCATCCATGTTGTTGGACGGAGCGAGAGAAGAAGCTGAAATATCCCGAATGACCGATGCCGATCCCGTGAGTCAAAGCATCGAGCATCTTATCATTGCTTTCTCATTGGATTGAGCCTCGACAAAGCGTGGGAATAATGTAGCGACCAGCCGCGCAGAGAAGTGAGAGGGAGTCGGGTTCGATGGCCTGAGTCTGGCGTTACTAGCGCATGTGCCTTGGGGCTCACCGCTGCAGTTCTTCCGGCATAGTGCCCCAAGTTAGTAAATTGATGGCTGATACTAGTGCAACTGCAGCTAGCTGCTATAACTTGATGTGTGTATTAGTGTTGAACATCCTCTGTGAGTGGATGATGGTGGTCTTAATGAAGACAGCGAGCTACGTGTAAGAAGCGAATCATACACGCGACCGCCTCTTTTCTGCAAGGAGGCGCTCACTTATCAGTCAGTTCCAAGATTCAAGTTCGTTGTGCCAAGCACAAGAGCATGGAGTGGCGTTTCTTCAAATATCGGATACGGATAGCAAGTCAATCTTCGGCCTGTTTATTCAGAACCAATAGTGCTTTACACCACAGAGCAGACGTGGAAATCAATAGATATAAGTCTCAAAGAAGACTCAACGTGTTCGACATCCAACACTAGGCATGAACTCGACGAAAATGGCCCCTATCGAGACACTGTGGCTTGAGCGCACCGGACGGATCTAGGCCAGTCTCACGTTTTGCCTTGCGGACGCTTTTTTCCTGTCCACGCATAATATAAGATCCTCTCTTATGGAAGAGATGTCGCCTGCCTTGCTCTTGCCTCGTTCTCGGAGACATGCCGGCGGGACTGCGATTTGCCGGTTAGACACTTTCCCGGAAGACAGGCTGCTACATGCTATGCTTGAACTGAGTTGATCTCGTCCGTTTGCCCGGCTGTATGGGAAGTAACTGCGCTATAAGCACAGATTAGTATGACTTCTATCTCAGCCCTGAGATGAAATGCACCATCCTCACCGTGAATTTGCTCGAGACATCGAACAATAGCGCGGGAAAGGGTGCGATTGTATCTATCCAGATAGTCAAGGAGGTTTTCTCGGGAGAAGAAAGAGGAAGATAAGACGGAAAAGGAAGGAACACAGACAAAGCAAACGTCATAAAAAGTGATAAAGTTGTTCCTAATTCCAAACAAAAGAGAAGAAATAGTGTAGCTATTATTAACAACATGCAAATTCAAGACAGGGGTCTCCAAGAGGCCAATAAGTTCTCGAATACCATCTACACGCACCCAATAATCTAGCATTGGGCCATGAACAGACTTTCATCTACTTGATTTACAACCGCACATGGCCAATTACTATAAAATTCATCTCAAAAACACATGTACTTTCTGTCCTGTGATAAAAAGAAATTGTTATGCATCGTCTCTATCATCAGGCTGTCAAGGCTTACGCCTATGTAGAAGTTGACTAAACTGTCAAAGTTCAGCTCAGAAGCCTGATCAATATTCGCAAAATGAGTCAAAATCTGTCCAACTCCTGCAGTTCATGTGTGCCACATCAACCTTCATCTAACGTCCCACACTGGAAGCCATGAAGAGTAAAGGTTCGGGTAGTGCATCATCCCTCCCATGTACCACAGCATCACTACGTTACACAAGACATGGCTATAGATAGCAGTGCCCTGACCAAAATATGCAAGCCTACGTAGAGCAGGCATTATTTTGACATTGATATTATGTATCCTGATTCCATTGATGTTAGGTCCAGGTAAGCAAGGGCCCCTATCTAAGGGTAGTCAAATAAGGGCTTGTTGAGGATATCGCTTGATATACATGTCTCTTTTCTCCAGATCTGTACTTCAAAGGGGTTAGTACTGGAGCTTCATTATACTAGTCTTCCCAAATCATTGACTGATCCCTGCGGTAGAGACGCCAGGTTCGCATGATGTCTGTCATGATGTTCAATAGTTCAGATCCTTCAATAAGGTTATTCAGTATTTGTCTATGTATTATAAATAACGAATCAAGTATTCTTGAAAGGAGGCAGGCTTTATAAATAGAGACATTCGTCTCACCGCACTTCCATCTGCAGCTTCTCAAAGTCTCCCTGTAGAAAGGAGCAAAATGATCACCTGACTATCCTGCGCGAAAGCCAAGATTACATAAGATCAAGGCACGAGATGACCCGCTCTTAGCAGCAGCCAATAATATCGCTCGAAAGATGGACCCCTGAGCGCTGCGGCATGTGGGGAATCCATTGGCTGAAATGATCTGCCCGATAATTGGGTCTAGGGAGCAAACAACAAATCAAGCGCCCAGGCACAATTTTGCAGGTCTGCCTTGCAACCATGATTCAGAGTCTCTCGTACTCTGTCCAGAGGTGCTAACTTATCTGATGATGGAAGAAGAAATGGTCCGGGTCCGCTTGATCAGCACGACGGGGCTGGATGATGCCCTAGTGAAGAATGACCTTTGGGGCATGTGCTCTTTCAGGGCTCATGACTGGCTGTCACTCACCGTGATGTCTCCATCATCCGGACAGGTCCATCAGCTGAATCTTGCGCTCATATATCTTACTCCGACCTGATACGATAGATTCAGTTATGCAACATAATGTCTTGTTCAGCGCTGCACTTACTGAATGTGGTTATTCTTCTTGCCCCATGCCCTGAGCCCACTTCTCAGAAGGAGACATACCACTAGACGATTGGAATGTGTCTAGCTGTGTAACAAGTAGCCACTGTAACCGTAGGCGGGCTTGATAATGTGGACTTGTGAGTGCTGATCGCCGTGTGACAGGGCTTGGTAAATAGATACCAATCAAGCTTCAGACCATGGATGTGCATAACTGGGGCTATCCCACCCTTGCTTCCTGGCCGTTGGCGGCTAGCGGTCCCTACTCACCACCGGTGATCACGGCATGTGCTGGATCCCTATGCGCCCAGTGGGCTGAAGATTCACCACTAGAGATGACCCATCCCTTCAACCGTCCAGTCACTGTTGTCGACAAACCACTTTGGATCCCCGCTGGACCTGGGATCTCACACACTCGTTTTTGATACCCGGAACTTGGGGTTGATAGTACTAGTAGCAACCGGAGAGATCCCATTGTGAGCCGCCACTTACCGTACCCACTGGCTTTGGGATATATATTTTGTAAATCCTTTCGAAATGGGTGGCTCGACGATATGTTTCTCAGCTGCGTTCCGCTGTGCCAGATTAGCCATGGCGAGTTGGTACACCATGCTGATATTGAGTCTACTGGAACCAGCTGCCCGCGCTGCAAATCTGACTTCTCACGTGGATTTATTGTAAGTGATACATCAAGATCCAGTCATGCATCAGCACACCTGCTGGATATTAAAAGTCGCGAGCCTGACCATGAACAAGTTTGGGATCCCAAAGTGGCGGCAATGATTTCCCCGGGGTTGCTCGTCCGTTTGGGGTGGTGAAGCTAGGACCCGATTTATATGTCTCCGGAACAGACGCATATTCCGGATATTTGCCCAATGGCAATTTCTCGGGGTTCAGTATGATGCATGAGCAGGGCACAGGAGGTGCGCCTAAGTACGGCACTGTCTCCCAGTTGCCGTTGATGGGAAATATCAGCAAACCGCTGTCCAACACCACTATTGGCCGGTCAGGTGCAGATGAGGCTTCAGTGGGCTACTATAAGGCGAAGACCGCCGAAGGAACAGTCGTGGAGCTGAGCGCAACCGCTCATGCAGGAATCTATCAATATACTTTTCCGAGCGGCTCGGATGGTAATGTCTTGGTTGACGTTTCGCATGTCCTACCGTCGTATCGGGGAATGGGACTCAGCCAGGGATACAAAGGTGGTAATATCATCATCTTCCCCGACGGGCATTATGAGGGCCATGGTGTGTACGACAATGGCTGGAACCGATCTCCCGATTGGTCTATCTACTTTTGTAAGCTTTTGTCAAAGCCCAAGCCATTTCACAGCAGAATCAGCTGACTTTACCCAGGTGGCCATTTCGATGCCTCACCCATCAGCAACAAGACCTATGTTGGAACCGATGCGGGCGGAAGCGTCGAGCAAAGTAGCGGTTTCGCATCGTCTTCTTCAGGTTCAACACGAGTTGGGGGTCTTTTCACCTTCAAAGACTCTGTAGTTACATCTCGTGTGGGCATATCATGGATCTCCACGGAGAAAGCCTGTAAGAATGTTGAAGATGAGATACCGGAAGACAAGGAATTCCAGTCGGTGGTGGACGACGCTCAGTCCGAGTGGGAAACGAAAGTCTTGTCGAAAGTTGCCACAACCAACATGAATGACACGACGCTCACGCTATTATATACGTCTCTCTATTTCATGCACCTGCTCCCCACCAACCAAACCGGAGAGAACCCCCAATGGACATCCCAGGAACCTTACTATGAGGATATTTTCACTTACTGGGTAAGTACTTCGGACACACAACTAAAATGACACTTTCGCTCATTTGGTTCGCAGGATCTTTTCCGCTGCTCTACCGCTCTCATGCAGGTGTTGCAACCCGCCGCATATGAGGAGCAGATCCGGTCGCTTATTGATATCTGGCGATTCGAGGGCTATATGCCGGATTCGCGGTCCTCTAACTACAATGGTCGTACACAGGGCGGCTCGAATGCGGACAATATTCTGGCCGATGCCTATGTCAAGGGCGTGCGCGGTGCGGTAAACTGGGAAGATGGATACAAGGCCATGGTGAAAGACGCAGAAGTGACGCCTCCCAACGATCCAGTCGATCCCCAGGCTCCCGATTCCTCGACAAAAGAAGGCAGAGGCGCATTGCCAGACTGGCTTAGTTTGGGCTACATCACGCCCAGATTTACCCGTGCTGTCACGCGAGCAGTGGAATATTCATGCAATGACTTTGGATTATATCAGGTAGCATCGGGGCTTGGGAAGACTGACGATGCGGAGAAATACCTGAACCGTTCCAGAAACTGGAGAAACCATTGGAATGCCAACCAGACATCGCTAGGGTTCTCCGGATTTGTCGTTCCTCGCAATGAGTCTGGTTTCATCGAGACTGATCCACTGAATGACAGCGGCTATTGGGGAGACCCTTACTATGAAGCCAGTTCGTGGGCCTATTCTTGGGCGAGTATCCATGACATGAAAACGATGATTGATAAAATGGGCGGGAATCAAACCGTTCTCGACCGGCTTAACACCATG